GAGAAGGCCCAGCACCAAGACTAGGGAGTGTGCAACATCCACATATGGACAGAGAAGGCCCGGCCTTGGGCAGAGGTGGAGAAGGCCTCCCTGGTGATGAAGGAAGAAAACTGGAGGCCAAAGCAGGACGAGCCTCACAAAGAAGGCAGTGGGCTCTTAGGCCAAAGCTACTGAGAACATAAAACTAAAAGTGAGGACTGAATCGCCAGCACGGAGCCATCAACTGTGCCCAGAACAGCAGCAGTTGGAGTGGGCACACGGGCCGGGTCACTGCAGGTTGGAGGGTAAAGGAAGTGAGGAGTGAGGACGAGGGAACCACTAACACCAAGAACTGTTTCAAGATGTTTCGCTGCAAAGAGGGGCCGAGAACCAGCATGGCAGCTATTGGGGAATGTGGAGTCGTAGGTCGTCATTTTTGTTTGGGAAAACAGAAGAGCACTTTTGCTTCCCAATGAGAATGATTCAGCAGGAAAGGAGAAAGACACAACGCAGAAAGTGGGAGAAAAATGGAGGATTCAGACCTGGTGGAGGCGAACTGGGCAGGTTTCAACAGCAGGGAAGAGACCTGCATGATTTCTGGGAGATCTGGTGGGGGAGGATGGGTCAAGGAAAAGAGGAAGAGGGCCAGTCACTCAAGGTCACGGGGAAGGGAAAAGAGGAGGAGGGCCAGTCACTCAAGGTCACGGGGAAGGGAAAAGAGGAGGAGGGCCAGTCACTCAAGGTCATGAGAGGAGGAGGGCCAGTCACTCAAGGTCATGAGAGGAGGAGGGCCAGTCACTCAGCCTGCTCTTCGCAAGACGCCACACACCAATGGTGGTGGAGTCAAGGACCACACAATGGGAGGGAGAAAAGTATCTAGCATGAAGCAGTTACGGGGCCAAAATGATACTCACACAACTGAAAAGCTACCAGATGTCCACGCCTCCTTCTGGCCCAGATCAAGCAGCTTTAGGTAGAAAAGAGGGCTTGCCTCTGCTACTCACCGACACCATCTTGCCCTCCGAGGGCATGAAGGCGGGCCGGTTGCTGATCCGCAGCTTGGTCTGCAGCGTGTTGAAGTTGATCTCCAGCTGGCATTTCTCCTGCACCTTGGGGGGCTTGTGCTTCCGGCGGTAATCCCGGAAGTCCTCCAGCTTCTTCTGCATGGCCTGCATGGTCTTCTCAGGAGTCCGGTTCTCTAGCCAGGGGATTGTGCGACGGATCCATTCCAAAAGCTGCTCCCAAAACATGAAACACACTGCTGAAAACATCGGCAAACGTTCCCAGTTAAAAAATAGAGGCGTATGATAACTTGGAGTGGATTAGCTTAATATTCCTAAAATTACTGAAATGTGGTTGCAATACCCCAACTCAAAGGAGGGGGATGGCAACTCTGAGCACGGTGGCACAAATGAAACCTTCGTGTCCACCCTGGCTGCGAGGGATCCCCCCAGAGATAGCATACACAGGTCAAAAACTTAAAGTCAGCACACGACGCGGTGTTTTACAAAAATGTGACATTTACAAGATACTCAGACCAGACATTAGCAGACAAATGCTGGATGAGTTTTCAAATTAAAAGAAAGAAAAAAAGAAGGAAACAAAAAACCTAACATGGTAGAAATGTAGTATAATAAATTCAGCAAATTGGGTTCAACTTACGATGCATTTTTAAAAAATAAGCTTGGATCTAGTGAATGTATTTACCATACAAATGCAAGCCTGGCACTCACTCAACACCAAAGTATATTTTCACATCTAGCTTTTAAGTAAACCTGCATCATATAAGTGAAAATGGCAGTGAATTCCTAAGGACAAACTACTACTCCTTCTCTTGAACGCCTACCAGGTCTTAGAAATGACCTGCTGAAAATGTCAACATTTACACTTCTGTCTACTAATCACCTGGAAAATGACAGCAGATTAAAGGAAAAAATAATTACAATGGTGATATATCTATAATCTAAAGGTTGCTGGAGAAATGAAGGACCAAGTAAGTAAAGGAAGGCTGGACTTACCAAAGATCCCTGGTCATGCTCAACCCTGAGGCTTATAAAGCCACCGAAAACTGAATTTTTGTTTTTAAAGAGATGGGATTTTGGTCATCCAGGCTGGAGTGCAGGGGTGGCATCACCATACTCACGGCAGCCTCACACTCCTGGGCATAGGGGAGCTCCCATCTCAGCCTCCCAAGTAGCTGGCATTACAGGTATGCACTACCATGCTTGGCTGATTTTTAAAATTTATTTTGTACAGACAGGGTTTTGTTGTGTTGCCTAGGCTGGTCTTGACCTCAAGTCATCCTCCCAAAGTGAGGATGTGTAATCCTAAATGTAATCCTAAGATTACAGGCATGAGCCACCTCACTTGGCCCCGAATAAAATTTTTCTGTAGCAGCAGAATAAAAAAAAAAAATTCAGTATCATTAGATTGGACTAATATAATCCACTATCTGGGGAGATTTATTCCAACTATCCTGATAATTTTTCCCAGTACAGACTAAAGATCAGCTAAATTAAAAGTCAGAACAAAAATTATTTGGTCTTAATGTACGACCACGTTTGAGTCCAACCTGGAGAGGATGCGGCCGTGGACTGCACTCATCCCACCACTGTTTTTCCTGCTCGTAGGAAAAGCCGAGGTAGCGAAGAGCTGCTCATTTGCTATTTATGCTATAATGAGAACCAAAAAAGGAGCAGATCCGGCACTACAGAAACCCAAGTTCAAGTATCTTGGGGCGGGGGAGGGCTCTATCCTCCCCAGACTGGGCCGCACCACCTCCTCGCACCAAGATGGGCGAGTCGCTGGGACTGCTGGTGTCTGTGTGGAGCCCGGCTTCTGAACACGGATTGAATCCCATGTGATGTCAGCAGCCAACGAAGCAGGAAAAAGACCAGTGCAGGCAGTCCCCCCGTTACAAACAACCAGCTTATGTACAACTCAACTTACAAACAGGGGCCGTGACAGCAAATCCCTGAGTTACAAGTGTCTGACTGATGTTCGATTCACACTTACAAACCTGTTACAATGTACCTGTTCCAACTATGTACAAATTCAACTTAAGAATAAACCTACGGACCTATTTTGTTCATAACCAAGGGACTGCCTGTAATGCAATGTTGTCTAGGGCCATCTGACACTGCAGATGCAGAGCTTAGCACAGAATCACATCCTGCTATTTTATTTTATTTATTTATTTAGAGACAGTCTCACTTTGTCACCCTCGGTAGAGTGCCGTGGCTTCATGGCTCACAGCAACCTCAAACTCTTGGGCTTACATAATTCTCTTGCCTCAGCCTCTCAAGTAGCTGGGACTACAGGTGCCTGCCACAACACCCAGCTATTTTTAGAGACAAGGTCTCGCTCTTGCTCAGGCTGGTCTAGAACCCATGAGCTCAAGCAATCCACCCAGCTAGGATCACAGCACATTCTGCTATCTTAAAATCTGCGAACTCTCTGCTTTGGGATGGTTGGGAAGACCATCAGGATTACGTTTGTGCCAGTGATTGAGTTATATTCCTACAAGATGAACAAGCTGGGAGATCAAATATATTTTCCTACTTTTAGCCTATCTGAAATGAAAAATGCAAAAAAAAGAAAAAAACACGGACAATCCATTGTCACCCCCGGGGTGGGTGTGGATGGTGAGTGTGGTCACCGGGTTCCTTTACCTCACTTGCTAGCCTCTCATATTCTTCCATCAGCCTCTCATTCTCTTGATTCACAGCAAGAACCTTACATATCCTGTTAGCCGCTGTCTCAGCCTGTAAAACACAATAGGTAAACAGGACAGCCCTGGCGCTGGGCTGCACACACAGAACAAGTCAGGGGACGAGGGGGACGGGGGCTGGCGTGCTGGAAACGGTGCAGAGTCAAGGTCAGGGTAGGGTAAGACTGAGGGCGTGGCGTCTTCATACTACGCGTCATTTCACACAGACACGGTGGGCTGATTACACTGTAGGGAATAACGGGGGATATTATTTGTCTGAAACACAAGCTTTGTAAAACATCAAGCACGTTAGTAACAGAAACAGAAACAGCAAGGAAACCAAGGTCGTGGGTCTCTGAACTCCCCACTGACCTCGAGACAAGATCGTGGGTCTCTGAACTCCCCACTGACCTTGCGACGAGATCGCGGGTCTCGGAACTCCCCACTGACCTCTCAACGAGATCGCAGGTCTCGGAACTCCCCACTGATCTCGTGACGAGATCGTGGGTCTCTGAACTCCCCACTGACCTCGTGACAACTCCCCACTGACCTCATGA